ATTTGACTTCCATTGGCCTGCGTTTCTCTCTCCAGCGGGGGACATCTTCTGTAACCTCTGTTGCCTTGGGGACTGTGACTTTCTAGTCTTTCTAAGCTAAAGCATATTTTGTGGTAGCACAATATGCCTCCAGCCACCTGGCAGCCAAAACAGCCTTCAGCGATGAGTCAGCAACTGCTCCCGGTGTGCAAGTATTTTTGTTTTCAGTGAATAAATAAAATCCCAACAACTTATTGCTAATACTTGTATTAGTCATTAAAGGAAGAATGATGTTTTTATGCACACATATGCCATTATTCTTCTTTTGCTCTAATAGTGCCATTTATGGCCATATTTTAATCCTTCTAGTTAAGCTGGGATCAGAATTTGACCCTTAGCTATCTGGAAGCCATGAAGCAAAGTCAGAAGTTGCCCATGAGATCAAGAGTGTAGACAGGTGTACCCTTCTGTATATGCGATAGGAATGTACCAGACCCACATATGACATGTATATGATTAACATAGTCTTTATTTTTTTAAGGAGGGATATTAATGGCACGTATGTATCAGGTGGAAAAGTGAATACTATTCATCTGTTAAACATTTATGCTCAAGGGTTCAAGGAGCTATGTCAGAGGGACAACATTTTCTTTGAGGTGTATTACCTGTCCTGATGGCCCCTCGATCACCCCGTGCAAGGGCTTGGTAGGAGTAAAAAGCTTTTGACGTCTGGGGTGCTATTTGACAGATATATATCTGTATGCTTACAGCGTGAAACATGTATTAGGAATTAATTATGGGGAGGGAATAAATGTTGGGTCAATCATGTCCCTCTTTCATTTGCTTCCAGTAAAAGTCTTGCTGGTTTTTTGTGTTTGTCTACCAGTATTCTGGCTTTTGGTTCAGCCCAGTTCATGGATAGGCTTCACTAATGTACTGTTGCTGCAGAGGACACTTTTCCTGTAAAATGGCCTTTCCCTGTGAGTCATTGAAGCATTCATGCTAACGCCTCAGACAGACAGTCTCGTAAGGATATCCCCTTTAAAAAGCAGCAGCTGCAGTAGGAAATGTTTTTATGTGTTTCCAGCTTTGTGTTGACTTACTGTATTCACAAGACTAGTCTTCTTTAGTTACAGTTAGTATGGAGGGCAAAAGGGACTTCTTTCCATCTTCAGAAAGGAGCTTCAAAATGCTCGTGTTGCTACCACATGGAGGTGGCAAAGTGTTCATCCCTGATACGTTTGTGCAGTAGTGGCTCTGAGGATTGAATTGTTATGATGAGGGACAAACCAGCATAGGGAAGCTTAGGAAATTATAAACCTGTGCCACCATAGTTATGAGTCTTAGAAGACTGTAAGAATTGACTTGAAATGTATCACATCTGAAAAAATGAGATGCCAAACTCGTGGAGTCACTTTCCTGGGTTTTCTGTCCTTCCTGGCAGCTAAATTATACCACACAAAAACCCCTCAGTCCTGAAATATTTGACTATTTTGGTCTTGGCAGAGACATATCTAGGGAAAAGCTACTGAAACTTGTGAAAAGGACATTTTTTAGACTGTGACGGTTCTTTCCATAAATTGTTTATTCTATCTGTATTGCAAAGAATATCTGCCATTTCCATTCTGTGGCTCTTGTCCCATGCTGAATTAGTACCACGGAAAGCAGATCAGCCCAGAAGTGAGGCCATAACTGTAAACCCCGTTAGCTAGGCTTGCTGCTGAAGGAGCAAGCAGTCCCAGCGTGCTCCTCTTCTCAGGTCACCTTTCTGTTGTGCTGGCATAAGCGTCAGCTTGACTACATGATGCCGTGGATCAGATGGATTAGGATGACCTGATCAACAGTAAAGACAGCTTCTTTATCAGATTGGTTCTGGCCTTGATCATTGTCCTGCTCTAGTTCACTTTCCTGCACTAGTGTGAAGAGAGGACAGTGTGAGTGGGCTGCTTCAGTATGCAAGCCAGGGAAAGTGTGTGTGGGACTACGCCACCGTGGAAGGAAATGCTAGCTGAATACAGACCCAGGGATATGCAAGCCCTAGGTCTAGGAATAAAACCTGGAAAGCTGCCCTCGGCCTAGTGTTCTATTTTTTCACTTCAAAACAAAATTAATGGTGTCAACGTCCTTCATAAAGTGATTTGAGATCTTATGCTTTTTATAAGCGGGGGGAACAAGGGTGAAATAATTCCTATGCTGCTCTTCCATGGAAATCTCCTTGAGTGTCTTAGGCAAACAGCAGGAAACATTTTTAACTGGAGAAGGACAAAAATGCTGTACCAAAAAAGTGGCTGCAAGAGGCAGTGAAATACAATAGAGAATGAACTAAAAAGAATTACAGTTTTTCTCAGTATTTGTGATGCCACATCCCACTGGTTCTCTTGCAGGTCTGTAACCCTCCTGAAAGTAGAGATCAAAAACTCTTATTTACCAAATAAAAACAAAACCCAATACTTTCCTCAAAAAGCTCCCCCACCTTCAAAAAAAAACAAAAAGGGAGGAGGATGAGCTCAGTCCTTCCACTGTTTTTCCCTGAACATGGCCCCTTTACCTCTCACAGCAAAGAACAAGTAATCCTTTTCTTCTGAGGTGGCATTTAAAACTTAAAGAGGAGACAGAATATTTAGAAACATGTTATGTTGTGTGAGAAGCCCAAAGCGGCCTCCTACATGAAGCAGGACATTAATATGGGGATTCTTACTTGTAATTTGTACTCCTGACAGTGTGGAATAGTTGAAATTGCACATACCAGATCAGCACACCTCCTCTTGTCTGCCTCCAAATTAACCTGGTTTATAAAATTCCATGAGAGCTTCCATTAAAGAGGGTCCACCAGTGAGGCTGAGATATATTTCAAGTTTAGGATTTTGATACCAATTTTTAAACATCCTTTTGCATTTCCCATACTAAGTCTCTATAAGACATTCTTTACCCTCTTGGCTGGCAATAGAATAAAATAATCTGCGAAAGCAGATTGTCTTCAGAGCATCTATAGTATGTTTGTCCACCGTACTCTCCTAGCATAGTTCCCTACTTGTGGAAACTGCAGAAGGCGGCATTGTGCTTGCATGCCACTTCATTGACATGCTACCCGAAGATCTCTGTTTAAGGAGCAGTCCACTTAAACTGTAATAGCTTGATAAAAGCATGGTATCTGGATGTCACCGGGACATGGTGGTTCCATGTGCATGTTCAAGCAGGTTTGGGAGTGTGCCTCTATGGAGGAGGGTGAGAAGAATCTCTGGAGTTTGATGAGGAAGGACAAGCCTGGTCAAACCGAGAGGCGAGTAACAAAACAAAAAACATCTTGCTTTTTGAAACCAAATTAGGTTTTTGTAACCCAGCCCTAGGGAATAGTTTATAAAAGATTGTTTTCACCTGTAAACCTAGCAATGCTGGACAATCAGTACGGACTGAACCCAGGGCTGGTTACTTTGAAATAAATGATACCGGGCTCTAGAGTCGCTGTCTGTGGGTTATGCTGCAAACACAGTGGTGTTGAAATGTGTGATGGGATCTGTGTGAACTCTTCTAAATCCAGGAGACAACTGTTAAGTCTTGAGGGTAAGAAGAATGACCCACTGCTAAGATGCGAGATGAACAGAGGTTTTCCGAAGCCTGTTTTGTATGTACTTGTGATTCAAATGGCACAGATCTACTCCCGCTGAAATACGAACATAATTTAATGACTATCTGGGAGGGCTTTGAAGAGCTGTTTATTGACACATCTCCAATACACCAAGTCCAGTTGCAGCTCTCTCTTATTTGTGATTACGTAAAGAATGCCTTGTAACCGTGTTGTTCTGCCCTGTTGGGCTAATCTGAGTTGAAACATCTTGTTCATATAATGTGCTTCAGTGCTCTTTTATGAACTCCTGTGTACTGAGGCAAAGTTGTTGGAAGCCAGTCTTCTGTTTCCTTGTCTGCTGGGGATTGGGGGTGGGGGGAGAGGTTGGGGCTGGTTTGTTTTGTTTTCCAGAAATGATCAGTCCTGCTTAGCAAATATGGAATTCTGGATGAGAAAACAAAGACTGACTTCTAATAGAGGGTCGGTTATTGAGGTGAAATAGTATCCCAGGCTGGGCAATGTAAAGAGAAACCCACCTGTTTGTATGAGATGCCATTAAAGTGCGGGAAGGTGGGGGTATAATCGGAGCCATTTTTGCAGGAGTGATTACATATAACAAAAGAAGGAACAGTGTCCCTGCCCCAAAGCTGCATTATATAGTCTGATGTCCCCCTGAAACTCAACTCCCATGTTTCTTCCTTGACAATGGGACCTGAAATAACCTCTTGGTTTTGGTTTTTTGTGTGTTTTCAAGTATGTTCTTGCTTAAGGTTTAATTGGCTCCAGTCAGTAGGAAAGGGCTCCAAGGCTGATTATTTATGGCTTACTGTCAAAAGTGGCTATAAAAAGGGCAGTATTATCTTGGAGATGCTGGGAAGGAAAATGTGGTGGGGGGAGGGTGGGGGAGTGTGTGTGTGCACGAATGTGTTTTCTTGTACTAGATGAAATCAGAGTTTTGCTGTCTCAGCAGTGTGGTTTAAATTGAAGATTAACCCTTTGACCTTCACGGTGTCAAATCACTTACAGATGGATCACCAGTTATATTTTTTTCTTTTTTTTTACTTTTGGGGTGAAGGGGGGGTTTTTTTTAAAAAAAAAAAAAAAGGTTGTTTGTTCATGCAGCTGGGGCTTTTGAAAGGCTCAGAAGCCAATCTGATTAAAAACAGCACTTGGCTAAACTCTGCAAAATCCTACAAGCAAAAAAAAAAGTTTAATCCTCTTGTGCACAATGCATAAAGGGTCTGCTCTTTTCTTTTTGTAATGTTAGAGCTACAATTATTTCTGGAGAACTTATCATTTCCCTCTCTCCCCTCATCCCTTGCTGCACCCCCTTGTTATGCTGATGGGATTAAAGTGTCTGCTCTTGAAAAGTGTAACTGAGTTGTTATTGGAAAAGAGAAGTGGTATGTTGCAATTTTAGAAATATAAATAACCTTGCTTCAACTGTTCTCTACAGCATCAGCAGAACAGAAATCAAGTGTGGTGGCAGCTTTTTCTCTTCCTACACAACTTGGCCTTAAACGCGGAGGCGAACAGGAACCACACTGGGCAGAGGTGAGCTTCGCCCGCCTGTTTCAGGCCGCATCCAGTCTGCAGGGAGCACTGAACAAACACTGGTTCGGGGGCGAGACATTGCACACCGCCGGCCGGATGTGAGGACTCTGAATTTCTGATACTCGTCTTCAAGTTTGGGGGTTTTTACGGACTCTTCTTTGCTGCTGCCTGCCTCGCGGGGCAGGGAGCTCTTGTCCAACACTGTCGAAGGAAAGCCAGAATGTGGGTGTGTTTGGTAAAGCTTGCTGCTGGTTCCCCGCGCCGGTGACCTCTGTGCAAGGGAGGCAGGTATTAGACTAACAGCTTCCTCTGCCCTGTGTGTTAGTCAATGATAGAGTGCAGGAGTGTCATTTTGGCTGCTAGTTAAAAATGATGTCTGGGATTGATGACTCTAAACATACTTTGGGTATCTTCCAGAGCAGAGATGCTCGATTCCTCCACAGAGAAAGTTCTTTTTAGCAATGAAAACGTTCAAGTAGCTTATATCCATCAGGTTACTTGTTTTCTGCATGGGTTACTGTTTATTTCCTTGCGCCCTGTGTGAGACAAAATCACAAAGAAATCTGATCTCGTCAATCTTTCCATTGGGCACCAGTTGCTGCTTTCTCACATGAAGTTGTTCTTTGTCATTGCCATGAATAGAAAAAATCATTTCAGTAGAACAGTCTTAAAATTAAACCTTCCTGGGGTTGCTGGGGGCTATTAGTTTCTGCCACTGTTTGCTTCCAGTTCAGTGTTCGCAGTGCCCATGAGCCAGCGTGAAGCCAAAACCCATGGAATATGACACAAGCGTCATTCTTCTACAATGCTAATGTATATGTTTTTATTAGTTTTATGATGGGTGTTTATTTTGTTTTGTTTTTCTTTTCTCTTACTAAAATGCGGTTGGTCAGAAAGGCTTAGGTCCCAGGCATCCGATAGTTTTGCTTCAGGATTTGACAGAGAAATTAATTAGCAACTAGTCTGAGATGTACACTGTACAAGCAGTCTGCCCATTACTCTAGTATGTGATGTTTGGAGGCTGCCGTAAGCATATATTGACTAGCAGCAGTAATATTACTTCAAGGGAGATCTTCTAACAGTTCCTGGTTGGTATGCACTCAGAAGTTTGTCCGTATGACTGACACTGTTGGACCAGCACAGGGAAATTACCCTACCAAAAGGAAGTAGCCTTAAATATCGATGGCTACTTCTCTGTAGCCTTAAATATTGTTAGTTTGCAAACCCAGTGGCAACCAGGGTAAAACACGAACAGAAAAGCAATACAGACTTTATTTTTTTCAGACCGTTTCCATATTGCCACTGCAATTTGTTGTAGGTCTCAAATGATACAACCAATGTGAGGAAGAGCTGTCCAGAGAATTGCTCTTCAGTCCTGTTACAGATGTCGACTTCAGGTGTTGAGGAATTCTTCTGCTCTTGGTCCACTCTGAAAAATAAGCATTACTGTACGGGAAGAGTAGTTTACTTGCACATACGCTTTCTCCTGCACCCCTCTCTGCATATCCTTCTCTAATTCATGCTTTCTCTGGTATTTGTATAATCTCATTATTGCACTGTAGTGTCTGGTAACAATTTGCTGAACACAGTTAAATTTGGGCTTTCTCCCTCTCTCCCAGCCCCATTCTCTTGATTTGCATCCTGCTCTACTGTGGCAAAATGTGCTTTAGCTCCCTGAAAGAGGTCCCCAAGCCTTTTTCACTTTCATATATTCACAGTCACTCTCTTCTAACGTAAGGAGAGTTTATGTGAGAAAAGCTTCTTTTTCTCCTCTTATGTTCTTTTTCTAGCTAGAGCTAGAGTAATATGTTTGTCCATGATGGTTAACAATTCATATAAATGAATCTCAAGCAATATTTTGGGGGGTGGGTTTTATGGAGAGGAAGGGCGGGAGGTTTTTTTAGACGGGGGAATTGTTTTTGGTTTTGTGTTGTTTCTTTAAGCATGTGCACTACAGAGTTACCCAGAGGGATACAAGTGGTAGCTGTTGCTGACTATGCCGCAGCAGTATGGGAAGCCGCTCTCTGCCCATTTGACAGAGGCTTTCCATGCCTTGCTTTGCACAGTCTGCTTGGAGTAAACGCTGGTCATTGGAGAACGAGGACTTAAACAGGGGGGGAAAGCCTGAGGGGTAGCGCAAGCACGGACTGAACTGGGGACCCCTGAGAAGCTGGATGTTAAGGAGAAGACTCTTCAATCAGAAGCTCTTAAAGAGGCAGGAGTGGAAGTGCTGAGGCTCAGGAAGCAATGCAGCAATGCTGCCTGCCCGCACGGCATGCTCTAGGATGCGATGCTTGCGTTTTCCCACTGATTGCCAGGACCCCTTTATCAGGAACTGTCAAAGCTACATCGTAACAGCCCTGCAAACTACGAAAAATTCAGCAAGTGCATCCGACGCTTAAAAACCATCATGAGCTTTCCCCTTCCCCTCTGCCTTGACTTGACTGCCAAACAGGCCAATAAGGCCTCTTCTCTGGATGCGTAAGCTGGAAAGATAGGTCTGGTACTGGTGCTTTCTGGTGTTGCGACCCAACCAGTTTATCTAGGGTAAGACTCTTCTTAACACGGAGAAAGAAGTACCTGAAACCATTTCTCAGTCAGGCTGCCTGCCTCAATAGAGTCCTTTGGCTCAGGGAAAGACACATCTTTGCCAGTCTGTATTTCCCGGTGTAACAACAGACTTATCAAAATTGGTCATGCCAGGCTCTCAAGTTAAAATCTCCTTGAACAACAATACTTCATTGGAGACATAGAGCTAATGCTAGACAAAGGCCGACTTCCTGCAATATGTGTGTTGGTTACTGGTGCCAGAGATTTACAACCACTGATAATATATTTTAATTATATTCCATATCTGCATATCTTAGAGAAAGGAAATATGCTCTGTCAACCCAAAAGTCTTATTTTGCTTCATGTAGATTTGGAGGGGCAGACTGGTTATTCACTTAGGGAAAAATAGCTACTTCATACTTACAGTCTCACCTACTTGAGTAAATAGTGGGAAGATTTCACACATTTATTGACAAATACACAGATGCACAGCACCCATTTATTTGTCACCCATTCCATGTTAGTAAGGACTTGAGCACGCACTGAGGAGATCTTCCCCGCAGAGTAGCTATTGCAATGTGGCCACGGACATACGTCGATTGTTTGGGGAAACAGTTCCAAGGAACGTGGTTTAAGTCCTGTTGGTGAAGGAGTATGCTCAGGTTTTTAGATATTAGTTTGTCTTGGTGAAAGGAATGGGACGCTGTTTCTCTCTGTGTTGTAAAACTACAATCTAACAATTTAGAAAGAACAGTCGGATCTTTCTCCTAAAACAAATTCCTATTTTTAATGAGCAGTTCTTAAGAAGAGCTTGAGCTGCTGCTGATGGTACCAGCAGCCTTGAAGTATCTTGCTTGCCTTCCCCAGATCTCCAGAACAGCTTCAGA